ATGGCAGGAATCCATGAAGTCATTGACAAGTGGATCGAGTCATGTCGGCAGTTGTCGACTACCTGGTTGGGGTCCACGAGATGATTATACTCTATGGTGGAGACCTTGAACGACATGGCTCAAAACCGTATGCAATGACGGCTATGCATTTATTCTTTGAGTCTTCTCAAATCCTAATCTTCTGGATTCTTCAACATGTCTAGTTTTGTCTTTCTAAACTTATCTCACTGAATCATACTTCTTGAATAATATCTTCTAATCCTAACCTCTCCGACTACTGCAATTATCTTTACTACCTCTTCTACTATTGGATTTGAATTGACAATTACATCTCTTTGGTATGGCAACACACAATCTCAAACAGGCAATGTTTACACCCCTCTACCGGGCTAACAAACCATCCTAAAATTCTCGTCAAGTCAGTTAAAATGTTCTCTCTTAACCCCTTTCACTAACAAAGTAAGCAAATTAACAGTCACTCCCTGAATCTAAACCCATATCACGCTTACGTAGGTCATACTGTCTCCTTTACTTGTGATACTATCAATTAATTTGGCTTAGATGGACATTTGTTCAATGTTTTATCAACGCTCGTTACATCTGTAATAAAAGCACAGATATAGTCAAGTTTGCATCCCTTCATCAACCTTCACATATAGTTATGTTTGAAGCACGGACCTCTATTAATATTTCTAATCTGAATATAGCTCTTGACAACTTTGATAGATTTCATAGTGATAAGTTACAAGGATGAGGCGAAGGATGCCCTTTAAATGCTCGCTCCAACCTTAAATCAATCATATGCGTTACGGCAGAACTAAAAATACTAAACGTTGGGGCGATAACCTCAATCTACCCATGTCTGTGTGGCAGAACATTTTGTTTGCTTACGGCTCCTTACGATGTAGCAGGATATAACAAATCAGTGATATTGATGTTACCTTTCCTTGTTAACCTCGTCTAGGACTCATGTCCGTAACCTTGCACTGGTTTTAACTTCTTACCAAGAAATCCTATTGCAAACGGATCTGGACAATTATACAGAAAAAGAGCTCAGAGTTGAAAAGAAAAAGAATAAATAAAATATCACAAAAGCATGAAATCACTGTGCCTCATTATTATATTTTGTTAATCAACGATATTGCTAACAGTTTGGTTCTTCTGAATTTCCTCTATTCGTACAATTAGTTGTCCATTCGTTATCTTACTAATGATTTGTCTTCATCAACCTACATAAATTCAGGTGTGCAGTTGGTGTACTTATATAAAAAAGTCTGAGTAAACACACCTTTGTTTTATTCAAAAACGTATCTGCTGAGTCATTGTTCGGTTTTAAACATGAATATTTTCTGTTCTGCTACTCGACCCGTTGACTTTATATCCTTTTTTTCCGAGCGCTACTCCAGCCGTTAAATATTAGCCTGGATATTTGCTGAAGACTTGGTTGATTTACCCAGGAGCCTGTAAATTTATTATATGGAGAATATGAACAAGATCTTAGAACATTGACCTCATTAATTTTTCTTAATGCAGGCCTGGTTCTGTCTTGGGTTGTTTCGCAGTCAATAGTATTTCGTCGTAACACAACCGTTATAACTCGCGCAAATTATTCTCATTGTACATTGCAGAGTCTGCAAAATTATCTTTAATTTTATGTGAAAAATTCTAGCCATCTAAATGGCGCCAATAAATCTTGTGAAATATTTCAGTAAATGTACACTGTTTCAAAAGAAATATGTTGCCAATCTTAACATATTGATCTTGCCTGTAAACTGGCATGCCTCTTGTAACATGTTTGTTATTTGAGAATATAATATTATTATTAAACGGTTCTGTATGAATCGTTCTGAAACCCTAAAATGCAATTTCCTTACTGTTCGACTGTCTTTACCATCAGCCTAACGCACCAACAGGGTTATAGCATTACTGTCAGAAGTATTCATGTTTGTTTCACCTCTACCATTTCCAGGCAAGACTATTTGTGAGGACTTCAACATGCCTGAAATTTCTCGCTTCCCAATCAAAGCACATAAACAACTAGAATCATCGATTGAATGCTGAGAGCTTGTAGAGTAAACCCAACATGCTGACGACCCGACCGGACTTAGTTTTCACCAGCAATCTCATTCCTAAAGCTGTATATGTTAGAAAAACGTTGCTAGGTAGCGATCATAATATCGTCATATTCAGTCATGATATAGAAGCCACTACACTTTGTAGGGACTTTAGTAGGATTGATTTGGCGAACTGCCAGAATCGCATAAGAAGCACTGATAGGACTATATACTTTACTGCAAACTATTTCATCCCAACACAAAAAATATCTTCAGTAAATTTGCGCATCTAGAATCCTGGAGACAAAGAATTTCTAAGGAATATATATGCCAGATCATTTACGACAACGTCATCTTAAACGCGCTTCCAGACTTCATAAACTTACTGACTTTCCTTTGATTAGGACGACAGAAATAATTCCCTAGGTGTAGTTGAATTTTCTACCGTAGCAGTTCAATTTGATTCCAATAGACGTATGTCGAACGCACCTTCCCTTAGTCGAATATCAAAACACAATAATTCTAGGAGAAAGTGGTCTATTTATATAAAAGAAATGGAAATACAAACATTTACCTGACAATTATTACGCCTTCCAAGTCGAAATTACTCTGATGAGTATCCGAGTTCAAAAGATTAGGTGAAGCTAGTATACTGCGACGATATCAAATCCAAATATGGCTGTAGCCATATTAAATATCAAATTTAAACAACATGTGTGAAGTTCAGAAGCAAACATAAAACTTCAATATAAGTACAAAATATAGAAATAATAACAATATACAATGATAAAATCTCAAAATGGAATCAAATAAAATACCAAAATATTAACAGAAAGAGTCAGTCACATCATAACAAAAATATATAAACATGGAGGGATTTTCCAAGAAACAAAACATTGAAAAAAGATTCTACACTAAGCAGAGATAATACGTACACAAATGGTAATCCTAAGGAGGAAACGCGCTGTCTACCTGAATAATAACTCTTCTGCACTTATCAGAATCTTGCAAAATAAACTTAAATGCTGTCAAGTGAAATAAGGGAGAGTATTAATAACGATAACCACAAGTCCGAAGACCCTAAACGTATCGCAGAGCTGTTTAGCAAGCATTTCTGCTTCTCATTAACAGACGAAAACCCAACAACTGACCCCGATGCCTTTCTGTGTATTCACCAGTGTAGGCTTATGTGTGAAAAATATTTCAGCGCGATGAGTACACTGATACACCCTTTCACTTAAAGACCAGAAAGTATCCCAGCCGGCAGGCTGAAAAATGGACAAATGATAAACTTTTTAAACTGTTTTCTATATCACTTTCAATAGAGCTTACCCTAATTCCTGGAAGTACACAAATATCGGATCCACAATTAATTCTGGACCTACACCAAATGTTGAAAACATTACTCCATTGTATCTAGAGTGATGGAGAAAGTAATGAAGGCGTTGGTAGTAGTACCGCGTCTATTATAGGTGAGAGAAGAGTCCATGTACAACAAAAGCAGTGATGTTAGCGACCGTTTAATTCATGAGATGTCTCCGGCATTACCTAATGATGCACTGACTCTAGTGCCTTAGGTGGGCTACAGAAGTTTAGTGACCACAAAGGGCCAATACCTGACTACGATCATGCTCAAATGAAAATGATAAAGAGTGTATCTATTGGAGCAATAAAGGACATAAGAACACACACCTCACACAGAGAAGCCAAATCTCATTGAGAATATCGTTTGTGTGTCACGGGTCGGAAAAGCGGACGTTTGTGATTCATACGGAAATTCCTAGTAATAATAGCGGAAATATTATCTTTTCGTTATGGGCCATGTTATTCGAGGCAATCGGTAGTTCCTCAGTCTATGATTATCCATGTCTTGGACAAACGCATCTAGGACTGTGGTATGGAAGCCAAAATGGATTGGTGAAAGCCGTCAAATGTAGATACTGGTTGACGAAATAAACAGAAGAAACACAGTACTATGTCGAAGCTTGCGGAAACTGCCAAGTGGTTTAGAGCCTAAACGATAAAGCTAGCACATTCTTAGAATATATTAAACCAAGTTATCCAAACGAGATAGTGGGGATCGACATTATTGCACGACTACAGAAAACCAACAGGAGGACTGTGTTTATCTTAGATATGTCTGTTCACTTTACTAGGTAATGCTAAATGATTCTTCTGAAAGTATGGCTCTCCGAAGTGCAGCGACAGTTTGCTCTCACTGTGGAAGGCCCCAGTCCAGTGACATTCATAAAAGTTTTCATCTTTGAAATTTCATTCTTTAAAGGATTACAAAAGTTATCACGAATCCAAAAACTTCAGACAACTGCCTACCATTTAGAAAGAAGTGGAACTGCCGAGCAAAACAGTCGGATTTTCAAATCGCCAATAAAAGCGTTTGTTAATCAGGTAGAGCTAGATCCTAGGACTCTACTGGCGTATTGCAGTGGTTTCCATGCATCCGGTAATTCATCACTTCCTTATATCGGTTGAATTTTTACAGAAGATGAAGCAGAAAGTTATCAATCCGTGACGATTATTGAAAGCGATTTAGGAAAGTACATAAAGGATGGGACATCAGTCTAACACTGTCAACGATGGAATCGAAACCACCTTTGGTTAAAATAATATTGATTAAACAGTTGGTCGGATCGACGGTATCAATAGGGAGCTTGTTGTCAGTCGAGAGCTAATTAAACGAACAGTCTACACTTGTGTCATCAGGGAACTTACTTCTACGGCAACTCCAACACTACAAACATTATTGATCACTAAAAGTGAAAGGACATGCATATTGACAAAAATTATCTGCAAGCCTACGTAGACCTTTCCATTAGAGTAAGCAGTAGTTGTTATTATCTTGTTATCGATTAAATATGTGAATAAAACTGGTTAACTAATGCAATCCTAAAGATTAGATGTGTGAACAAACCTCAGAAAAAGAATTGAGGATTGAAGACCCACTAGATGCTTGAGAGCGCTTTACAAAAAGTTTCTAACGTGAATGGAGTCGGGGTCGGCGGTTCACGTTCATCCCGTAGTTTTAGCATCGATTGTGGATGCTTATGAAAGACGTGCAGAAGGATCAGAGAGAGTTATTGGCACTCTTCTTGGTAGGATAGCATTACTTTACTAATTACGACAGGGACATGGGGAAAAGGAATTATCGAAGTTACTCATTGCTTCAGTGTTCTGCATCAAGAAAATGCAGTAAATGTATGCATGGACTTGGAATTCAAAAACAACATGACCGTGCTCGAGCGTAAAGTAATTGATCACTGCTAAATAACTATTTAGGTAAACCCCTCTTATAACATCGTTGGGTGGTATGCAACGGGAAACGAAATTCCAGAAACACTAAAGCTTATCCACGAAGATGTGTACATGCGAAATCTAAAGAATGCGATCTTTCTAATGTTGGACACTAATGTGACTCTCTGGGACAAAATGGCTATTAAAGCATACCTTTGCAGGAAGATGGGTATTCCTGGTGGAACACAAGGACTTATTTTTGTACCAGTTGAAGTAGAAGTCGAGTGCTATGGTGCAGAACGTTGTGCTGTTGAAATGATGGTTTCCTCTATTGATCCACGGAGTAAATTAGAGCCTGAAGTAAGCTGATAATTCATTGAGTTATGCATTCAATTTCTAGCTGTTTATTAACATTGTTAAGGAAACTGTCAGTTGTCTAGTATTTAAGATGGGTCCTAACTGTGATATTGTGTTGGGTGGTCTTCTTTTTTGCACATACTTTTAGTCACTAAAGGTGTAATTATTGAGTTCACCAAAAATGTAATTGTCTTTCTCATGGAGCAGTTTACTATTGACCAAAACTTCTGGCTCTGCCTAAAAATATGAATTAACAAATGGGCTTAACTGGTTCATCTGCCCCATTATAGATGGCGTAACTCGTACATTTGTCAAAGTATAGTTTCAGTTTTGATATATATGGTCTGATAGAAGTGAGGTGGTTGTTCCCAATCGATACTTTTCGTTTGGTTACTAATAGTGATGATGCAACTTACGATTGAGCAAGTGAGATCTGCTCTCATGCCCGTGAAAATACACAAGACCAAATCTGCCACAATCAAATTTTTCACTTATCTCCACGACCAATCTTTCGTTCCTTTGTCACTCAGTCAGTCAGTCAGTTGCAACGTAGAACTTCGTACGTATGTACATAAGTTCATGTTGCCATACCACAGCACAGAGACGCAAATGTCAAACCAAATCCCATAGTGATAAAGATAGTAGAGGTAATAATGTTAATAAAGAAGACTAGGGTTTGAAGATATTATTCAAGAAGTTTAATTCAGTGAGATAAGGTTAGAAAGACAAAGGTAGAGGTGCTGACGAATCCAGAAGATTAGGATTTGAGAGAGCTCAAAGAGTGGATGCACTTGCACCATTGCAAACGATTTTGAGCCATGTCGTTCAAGGTCCCTAACCATTGATAACTTTCGTCTCGCGGACCCCAACCATGTAGCCAACATCTACCAACATGACTCAGTCCACCTGTCAGCGACTTCATGGATTTGTGCTATGTCTTGGTCTGGCCGACCCTAGCTTTCTTCCAACCTACTCTCACGCCACAAACATAGCTCGTCCAGGCAGTCGGTGGTTAGGCATACGTAACATATGTCCCAACCACCTCAACTGATGAAGTTTCATTACTTCATCTATTGATCTGCGATTCTTACCTAGTACTCGTTTCCTAACGACAGCATTGCTTACTCGGCTGTCCCAGGATATACTAGCAATGCTTCGAAGACACCTATGATCGAAAACCAGTAACCTACAAATATCTTCTACTCTCACTGGCCATGTTTCACAGCCATAAAGTAAGACCTAGCGAACCACTGCATAGTACACTCGTCCTTTAGTCAGCAAACGGATATCTCGCCTACGCCATAAGTGACGCAACTTGGCAAAAGTCAATCGAGCCTTCTGTATCCGAGCTGAGATTTCGTCAGTCACCAGGCCATCGGCACTGATGAGACTCCCAAGATAAGTGAAGCGGTCCACACGCCCGACTACTTCACTCCCTATCACTAGTTCAGGTGCCGATGAAACCCAATCTTGAAGCAACATTTTGCATTTCGAGGGTGAGAACCGCATCCCGAACATGACTGCATTGTTGCTTAGGGTGGTCAAAAGATTCTGGGTTTTGTCATCGTCTTCACCAAGTAGAGCTATGTCATCAGAATATTCTAAGTCAGCAAGCGATTTCCCTGGTAGAATGTGGACATCCCTGACGGACACCACTTGAAGTAAAGGATTCTGATGACAGTTTGCCCTAAGCACTCACTCGACCAGTGGTGTTTGAGTTGATAGCTTGAATAAGGTTAATGTACTTCTTTGGTACACCTTTCAATGACAGACACTGCCACAGAACCTCACGATCTACCGAGTCAAATGCCGCTTTTAGGTCCAGGAACACGACCATTGTCGGACGTCTAAATGTGTGTCTGTGTTCCAGGACCTGTCGTAGTGTGAATATCTGGTCTATACAACCACGTCAAGGTCTGAAACCAGACTGGTTTTCTCTAGTCTGCTCTTCACAAGCTCTAGATAGACGTCTAAGTATAAACGAGGCTAACAATTTAGAAACTATATTAGTTAAACTTATTCCCCTGTGATTGTCACAAGCGGACTTCTGTCCTTTCTTGTAGCTTGGGATAATTAGCGACTGAGACCAGTCAGATGGGATTACGTTCAGTTCCCAGATTCTACCTAGTATCTCGGTCAGTCTAACCGTTAAAACTGGACCACCATCCTTAAACATCTCGGGGGTAAGCCTATCGGGACCTGCCGCTCTACCTCCCCTTAGATTTCCTATAGCTTTCTCAACTTCATGTAAACTTGGAGGACTTAAATAGATTTGCCATTCAGGATGACTGGAGATCGTGGGCAACCGAAGTGTGGCTCGAGGCCAGTTGAACTGATCTCTAAAGTGTTCTGCCCATCGGTCCAGCCTCCTAGATTGAGAATGGATAATAAGACCATCCTTTTCCGAGATAGTCTCACTTACATTCGGGTTCCTAATACCGGTTTCTTTGATAACGCGGAAAAGTTGTCTAGTGTTGCCTATCGCCGCTGCCTTTTCCATCGCTTTTGCTTTCGCCACCCACCACTGTTCACGGTCGTTACGTAGGCTTTTTATAAGTCTGCGCCTAAGTTGAGTACGCTCTTCATCATGTTCAGAGTCATGTGGGATGCGTTTTCGAGTATCAATCAGTTCGGTGGATGCGACTGAAATCCACTGCTTCATCCTAGCCTTGTGGTTTACCTTTCTAGCAGATACCATTGCTGTTTCCACAGCCCTCTTGATATGATTCCAACCTGCTTCAGGATGGAAATCACTTGCATGGCCGCTTAACTGTTTTTCTAGTTCCTCCTGAAATATTTTCTTAGCTTGATTATCACCAAGTAAAACCCTAAGAGGCTTCCTTACGGTGTCTTTCCTACGTCCAGCAAGCCTCAAACAAATACGTGCTCGCACTAGGGCATGATTTGAATCTAAACATGTGCCCCAGAACGAGCGACAGTCCTCTATCGAACCCCTCCATCGGTGGCTGATGGCGATGTGATCTAGTTGCGTCCAACGTTGAGACGACTTCGGGGGTCGCCAGGTCAAAAGATGTTCTTCCTTACGCTTAAGGTTAGTGTTTGCTAGGAATAGGCGGTTATCTGAGCACAGTTGCAACAGACGGTCACCATTATCTGTTCTCTGAGCCGTGACACCATAAGATCCACCTAGGTGTCTTTCCTTCCCACTTAGTATACCTACTTGAGCATTAGAGTCATCAGCCACAATTACTATATCAGGGCGCCTTGATTTTTGGAGGAGGTCCGAAAGCTTTCTGTAAAACTCATCTTTTACATCATCTGGGCTGCAGTCAGTGGGGGCGTAGGCTGATATGACGAAGAGGCAACGACTAGTGTCCCTATCTTTCCGAGCCCTTGCTGTCCCGTTCAATCGGACGGCGCACAAGCGATTATCAACTGGGATCCAGTCAAGGAGAGACTGTTCTGCCCTACCACTCAATGCTATGCCTACGCCAGCAAGACCCCTGGAAGCAGCATCAGTGCTACCGGATACACGAAGAGTAATTCGAGCTGCTTCTTTATTTTTACAAGTTGAAATCAGATTAATAATTTTACTAGGATCCTGTATGAGCGTTTCCGAGACGCAGCATACATCGATGGCAAGATATTCTAAAGTCCTAGCTAATGATGCCTGTTGCCCTATTTGACACAATGTCCGTACATTGAATGCTCCAACATGTAGTTTAGAACGGGGTTTAAGGAGACCAGGAACGACGTTTCGCGAACTCGCATCGTTTGCATTAGCTGTGCACTGTGATAAATGAATGTGAGAAGAGTTAGTCGTGGAGATAAGAGAGGTATTAGGGAGTGTAGGAAGGATTTGATTTTAACCGATTTTGTCTCTCGTACTGTTACGGGTATGAGGGCGGTTATCACTTCGCGGCTGCACACCATGGGAGGTTGTTTCTTGAGGGACCTGAAAAGGAAGATAGATTAGTGTTGGTCTTAGAGACCTGGGAGCGTGACCGCAGAGTCCAAGGGACAACTTCTTGAGGCCGGTCACACACGGCCTTTTTATGAAACGTTTTTTGAGTATTAGCTCCGTTCTTAAAGGCCCTTAGTGGGCACCGTTACCGCCGGAGACGGAAATGCGTGAGGTAAGGTGAGGTGTGACATTTTTAGGGCCGACCTTTTCTAACCCTTCCTTCCTTGTGAGAAGGCAGCATCGCTGCAGATGCTGGTTGTCCGAGGGAAACACCTTACTGCTGTCACACATCTCTGCAGTCAGCAGTACGACTTCGCCCTCAGACCTTGGGTAGCTGCTTTTAGTCTCATCGTTCTCCAATCTACCTGCCTGGCATGGTAGGACCTGCAGGAACATGTGTTCCAGCCAGTATAGCTCGGTTGGGTCATCACGATAGGCAAGCTCGACCACCACGTCAAGGTAGCAGCTTCGGTCGGGTCCTTTGTCACTTCGCGCCGCTGATACGCAAAACGTAATTCCCTATCTCCTGAGACCACGCTCTAAACTGCATATTGATGATTCGGACCTTGTGTCGAATAAGGCAACAGGCTTCATCAGCTTGGTCTCTGGAATCCCGTGCCTTCGATGTATGTTGCGTCTCTAAAACGTGCACATAGTATCCCAATAAAATCATTAAGTTTATTTATCCTTGTTTAGAAAGAGAGTCTTCTTGTATCTGGAAGCCCCAATGGTGCTTCCTGTGGTCTCCCTGGTATAGGTTTAGTATTTATTCCTAGGGCAGATTTACTCTCTTAGACTGAATGTGATGTCTAACCCACTTTGTTTCATTTGCAAGCAGGTTCTTGCTATGTAGGTCTTCGGTGAGTTTAAATGCACAGTTAGTCGTGGTTGATAGGAGAGATGTTAGGGGGTGTAGGAAGGATTTGATTATGACCGATTTGGTCTCGTGTGCTGTTACGGGTATGAGGGCGGTTTCCACTTCCCGGCTGCTCACACCATGGAAGGTTGTTTCTTGGGGAATCTGAAAAGGAAGGTGGATTATAGTGGGTCTTGGAGACCTGGGAGCATGACCGCAGAG